GGGGGAGAAGGAGACTGCCTGGAGGAGAGAGGGGGTGCTGGAGAGAGCGGCCCCCCTCCCCGTCAGCATCCCTGCCCCCGCCACCCAGGTTACATGGGGATGAGGGCCTCAGGCCCTGGGCGCCTGAGAATTTGGCTCCCCAGGCTGGAACCCAGCCCCTGTGGGTGCTGCTGACCCTGCCTGGTGAAAGTAGCCCGGGCCCAACCTTCTGGCCTCCAGTTTGACTCTCCTGTCCCCCACGGGCCCCTGGTGGCCAGCCACGCTTCCTGTCACCCTGTCGCGCTTTCACGCTGTCACATGCTCTACAGCCCGTAGTTTGTACCTCTGGCCACCGCCCACCTGTGCCCCGGTCGCCGTCGCTACCCATCACCGCTGAATGTCACCATGCCGCCTGTCCCTCAGCGGCATCGCACGTTTTCTGGTGCTTGGGACCACCTTTACGCGACCACCGGGCCCGCTTGTCACGCATGTCTCCGTCACACCCAAAGGCACGTACTGCAAGAGCAGTCGCGGGTGCCGTCAGAGCACAGGGTGACCCCGCTCCCCGTCCCCCTGCACTCGGTGAGCAGCAGGCTCCGTCCGCTCGACGGCTGTTCACCGAGTACCTGCTGGGTGGCGGGCGGGCGGCTGGGAGCTGGCGGGTCCGTGAGAGCACAAGCCCCTGGCCCCGGCAGCCCTCCGCGCCAGCGAGGGAGAGCGTGGCCACGGCCTCGGCGGCCCCCGGAGCCTTCGAGGGCAGCTCTAACCCTGGGCGGCCCCCTCCCCCACTCCGCGCTTCCAGAGGCCGCGAGAGGGTTGGGAGTTTCCCCCAGTCAGCGGTGAGCTCACCAGGGCCGGGAGCCCAGCCCTCAGCGTTCTGGACAAAGGTGGAAGGCATGCAGGCTGTTCGGCATGAGTCACAGAGGCCTCTGCCTCTCTCGGACTCTCCCACCGAGTCCGCCCCGGGGCCGTGCAGGGTCAGCAGAGCCACAGGGGTTCCTGCGGGGAGAAGAGAGGAGCGAACGCTATGCTGGGGGTCCCTAGGAAGGAGAACTTCAGACGGAAGTGACTTGTGGGTCCGCCGGGCAAAGCCGCAGCGCAAGAAAAGCTGCAGCCGGCCGGATTTAGGTTAGATGGAAGAAAGAACTCCAACGGATGAAGGGACGACCGGACCTCACACACAGCTTCCTGGAGGAACGCTACAGGGCAGCCTGGGGGGGCCGAGAGTCATCCTGCGAAGACGCAACAAAACCCAGAGCCCCCCTCCGGCCTCCCCAGATGCCTCTCGTTCCGGGCGGCTCTCCTAGGCCCACTCAGAACCACTGGGCACGGCGGGAGCTCAGCCACTGTTTGCAGAGTCTGTGGCCGTCCGCAGGGTCTGTCGAGAGTTCAGCTCTGTTTCGGGGATTTCAGAGGGCCCATGCTTGACTCCCCCCACCCTCTCTCGCGAGCTAAGCCTGTTGCTCGCTACCACAGTCGTCGGAGGCCATCCTTGTGTGCCGCCTGTCCCGAGTTTGCAGAAACCTCGTCTTCTCAGCGTGCCTCCTGAGCCTGTGTCTTGAGGCTCTTTCCAGAGTCTTTTTTCAGAACCTGGCTTTCTAGAGGATCTGTCCCTACTTCCCTGGGTCCAAGATTTGCTGTCACGGCAGACGCTGCCCTGCGCGTAGAACCTCTCCCTGTCTGCGGAGTTTGCCTGGGGTCTTCGTCTGGGATGCCTCTTTGTGCCTGAAGGCATTGTTCCCGTGCGCAGAGCTTTGTTTGCAGTGCCTGTCCCTGTCAGCAGACCTTGTTTCCTCCGCAGTCTGTCTCTAGACTATGCCTCTGTTTGCAGAGGCTTTTCTTATTTCAGAGTCCGGTTCTGTCTGCGAAACCTGAGCCCTATTTGTGCAACCTCTGACATTTTGGGGGGGGGGCCTCTAGCCGTTTGCACGCCCCATCTGAATTTCCCTGGATAAAAACTGTACCTGCTTGTAAGAGCCATTCCTATGAAGAGCTATCGCTGTCAGAGGTCACCGTGTCTATCTGGGAGCACCTGTGTCTCTCTGCGGAGCACATTCCCGTTTGCGGAGCCTATCCTGTGTGCACACTCTGTTCCTGATTCTACGTGTAACTGTTAGCAGAATGTGCCCCTACTCACAGAGCCTTTATCTGTTGCCAGAATTCATCTTTTTCTATGAGGTCTGTCCCTGTTTGCAGAACCTGGGCTCCCTACACACCCCAGCCCTGTTTCAAGATCTTGCCCAAGTCTGGGACACCCGTGCTTGAACGCAAAGCTGATTTCCCTGCCCACTCATTTCAGCAAACCCTGCCTCTCTGAAAAGCTGTCGCTGTTAACAGAACCCGTCTGTTTGCAGAGCACTGTCAGCTTACAAAACCTCTCCCGACCTGCCAAGTCTCTGTGTGTACAGCCTCCATCTGCAGAGCCTGTGTCTTTTGTCAGAGTCTGGATCTCTTCGCAGCATTCATGATGGTTTGCCCAGCCTGTTCCCATCTCCCTGTATGCAGGATTTGGGTCTGTTTTGCAAGGCTGTTCCTGCTTGCAGAGTCGGACCATGCCTAGAGATGTTTTGCTTACTTCAAGAGACTGCCTCTGTCTGGGCAGATGCTGTGCTGTTTGCAGAGCCTTGCGTATCTATGTACCTGTCCATGTCTGCCGTCTGTCCCTTATATAAAGGATACCTACCTTAAGGGTTTGTCCCCACCCACATTTACAAAGTCTTTCCCCACCTGCAAAGTTCCTCCACACCTGCGGAATCAGGAGCTGTTCGTAGAGTCTTTTTTGTGTTCACGACCTTCGCTTGTTTGCCCGGCTGCTTGTTTGTCTGACTTTCCCTGGATAGAGTCGGTGTCTCTTTGTTCAGGCTGTCCTTACACAGACAGTTGGTCCCTGACTACAGAACTCATTTTTGCCAAGAGACCCTGTGCTTGTTGTATCCCTTTCTTCAGTCTGAGGAAGTTGTCCCTGTTTGCAGAGCCTATGCTTGTATGCAGAGCCTTTTTCTATCCGCATAGCCTATCACTCTCCGAGGGTGCCGTGTCTCTTTGCATAGCCTGTCCCTGCCTGCCTGGAAGACCCAGGCCTATTGGCAGCTCTGTCCCTCAACGCAGAGCCTGTCTTTGTCTGCAGGATTCAGTCGAATACCAGGAGTCTGTGTGCAGGGTCTACCCCTGGCTGCAGAATTGGTTCTGTTCCCAGCACAACCTTTGCCTGTCTGCATAACCTGCCTCTGTCTCCAGTGACTGCCCCTGACTGCAGATCTCGTCTGTCTGCACAGCCTGTTTCTCACTGCTTGCTTGCAGAGGTCCCTATGTTCAAGACCCATCCCTGCCCACAGAGCTTGGCCCTGTTTCAGGAGCACGACCACAGACGACAAACCTGTTCCCTGTTTGCAAAGCCTCTGTGCCAGGGTCTGTCCTGCTTTGCTGCCATTTGTGACTTGAGAGCCCCCCGAATGAAAGGCCTGTTCTATGATGACAGCGCTTTGGAGAGCTGCAGGTGGGGAGAGTTCTTGCCTGGAGCCCAAAGCACAGGTGGCCAGGGCCTGAGGACTCTGGCTCTTGTTTCTTCCCTCGTTCCCACCTGGCCTAGGATGGACGTCAACAAGGGCCTCCCAGCCACTGAGAGCCGCAGGGACCTCCATGTATGGATCATCGAGGTGAGGGGCACAGCCAGACAGCAGAGCTGGGGACACAGAGAGTGCGCAGTCTCTGAGACTAGGCTTCTCCCTCCCGCCACCAACTCGGAGCTCCCTCCTGTCCCCCACCCCAGAGGGTCATGGAGGGTAGGTGGCTGGGGGACGGTCCTGCTGAGCTGTCACTAGGCACCCTCCTCTCCCAGAACCTGAGGATGGCACCAGTACCCGAGAAGGCTTATGGGAACTTTTTCGAGGAGCACTGCTACATCGTCCTCCATGTGAGCATTTGGGGAGTCTGTCTGAGGGGTGGGGACTCCCCGGCTGGGGAGTCTGCTGATGCAGACCAAGCTCCATCCCAGGAAGAGGGAGGCCGGCAGCCAGAGCATCCACCCTACAAGGGGGCTCCTGCCTTTGAGGCCTCTTTGCCCCCCTTGGACCTCCAGCCCCGGGGAGGCGCCTGCCCAGTCCCCTCAAGGCCCTCAGTGCATCCTGGGTCTCAGTCTCCACCCCACCCCTGGGGCCTCTGCACCCCCCGCCCCCAAACACCTGGGCCCTAGGTTTCCCAGAGCCTCAAGGCCACGCAGGGGGCGTGCAGCGACCTGCACTACTGGGCGGGGAAGGAGGCGGGCGCCGAGGCGCAGGACGCGGCCGAAGCCTTCGTGCAGCAGCTGCAGGAGACGCTGGGTGGCGCCACCGTGCAGCACCGGGAGGCGCAGGGCCACGAGTCCGACTGTTTCCGCAGCTACTTCCGCTCGGGAATCATGTGCGTGCGGGCGGGGCCCCGGGGCGGCGGGTGGCTGGGCGGCCTGGGGTGACCCTCTCCTCCCTGGTGTGGGGGTGTCGGGCGAGGGGGAGACGTCCTCTCTGGGGTACAACTCTCATACCCTACCATGTTGCCCCAATTCACAGATACGCTTATGCCCCCACTTGTGCACAACCGACCCATGTAAAGTATACGATCGGTGATGTTTTTTTAGTACGTTCACCGACTTGGGCAACCGTGCCCACAGTTGCGGAACACCGTTGTCACCCCAAAAAGAAGCCCCGTACCTTTCCCAACACTCTCCCTTCCCGCCCCCCGCCCCCCACCCCCACATTTTCTTCATCCAGTCTGCAAAAATTTGCCTATTCCGGACATGTTTATAAATGGAACCGTACGACACATGGTGTGGGGATAGAACACATTTTATTTACGTATTTATCACTTAGGGGATGTTTGGATTGCTTCCACGTTGGCCTGTGATGGGTAATGCTGTTGTTAACATTTGTACGCACGGGTTCCCCCCCCCCCCCCCCAGTTTTATCGAGATATAATTGACGTGCATCACTAGTTTGATGCTGTGGCTTAGAGGCAGCGTGAAGTCATCACCACACTGCACTTGGTTGACGTCCGCCTCCTCTACAAGTTTTTTGTGTGGACGTGTTTTTCATTTCCCTTGGGTGTATACCCCGGCGTGGACGCCAAGGGTGTTTTGAGTTTGCCTTTCCGTTACTGTGCCCGCTAGAAATATGTCTTTTGCTGTAAATTGCTTCACAACGTATTAAATTAATAACTGCAACATATTCAGTTAAACCGTAGGAAAATGCCAGTATTGGGTCGTTTCTGATTCGTACACTTAAACCTCCTACTGGAGCGCATTTGTGCACGCACCCGCAGAAAACACACCATGCCCATACGATGGGCCTATAGGAGGGCTCGTCTACACATGTACGTCAATGTGCGTGTCTGTGTGCACACAAACGTGCTGCTGCCAAATTGCATGCACTCACATCTATACTTACGTGGATAAACAGATGCCCTTATGCCCCTCCTTGTATACGTGGTATACAACTATACAAACATGGTATACAGGTACATGCGCATGTGCACAACATGCATGTATTTACATCTATACACGGATAAACATACTATGCCCTGCACGCATGCACGTACAGGTACACGCACGTGTCCGCCTATCTACACGCACACTCCCGCCCCATGTGTGTGCTCATGCGTTTGTGCACACTTTTCATATCCGCTTGCACACGTGTGTGCTCACACCTGCACTCACTCCTGCACGGAGCTGTGGAGGGTCTTAACTGTGATGCCCTCCCCCCCGCCCCGCCCCCACCCCAGCTACAGGAGAGGGGGCCTGGCCTCTGCCCTCACGCACGTGGAGACCAACCTGTACAACATCCAGCGACTGCTGCACGTCCAGGGGAGGAAGCACGTGTCGGCCGCCGAGGTGAGGACCGCCCCGGGTGTCGCTTGATCTTCGGGCTCAGGTCGGACCGTGTGCCGAAGTGCAGGGAAGCGCGGAGGGTGGAGGCGGGCGGTGGGGGCACCGTGTGCTGTCGCTTTCGGCATTCCCAGGTGGCCCATCTTGAAGGAGGAGGGGGAAGGCAGAGCCAGGCTGCCAGCCCCACCCCTCCGTGGCTCCTCTGATCCTGTTTTCTCACCCATCCCGTGGGCACACTAAGAACTTGGGGAGGCGAGGCGGACCAAACGGTGCACCCGGATGGTCCGTGTAAGCACCGTGGGCAGTAGCATGCTGTGGGGTGGGGGGTGCACAGCCCCACACTCTTCGGGCGCATCGTCCTCACCACCCACGGGCGCACATGCTGTCTCCCACAGATTCAGTGACCATACATCCCTGGTCGTGCAGGGACAATGCGCAGCCCAGGTTTTGCCCATCACATTGGCGTAATTATTCAGCATGCGTCCTTTTACTCCCCAGAGTGTCTCTGTTTGGATGATAACTATCCTCTTCCACGGATAGCACGTTGTCCCCCATGCGGAGACACGTACGTTGTCACCCACGAGCTCACGCACTGGTTCCCATTTGATGTGCCCCCATATACGTACACATGAGCGTGTACACACACATCTACACCCATGGGTAAACAGATACGCTCCGCTTGTGTACACATTACGCGTACAGATGTGCAGCTGCAGACATGCATGGAGGGAAGAGTGTCATAATCCTGTAGATCCCGTGAAATGCAGCATTACCTCCGGTAGTGCCTAGAGAGGCACACCAGGGTGACCTTCAAGGTCTCATACGGTGACACAGATGCGTGCTTACACACCACAATACTGGTGCAGTGGTCACACATACAGCAGGTTGCACACAGCCTCGTGCACACGAGTGAGCTGTGCTCATGTAGGTGGAGATGGGCTGTGGCGCCCCTCCACCTGGGTGCTGGTGGTATGGCACCCTGTTTCCTGCCCTGTCCCTCCTGGCTCTGGCAGGTGGAGCTCTCTTGGAGCAGCTTTAATAAGGGGGACATCTTCCTGCTGGACCTGGGCAAGGTGATGATCCAGTGGAATGGGCCTGAGACCAGCATTCCTGAGAAGGCACGGGTCAGTGTCTACCCTGGGAACTAAGGGATGCAGGGCTCAGGGAGAAGGGTGTCCATCCTCCAGACCCCTCAGGAGGTGGGCTTGGTTGTGCCACTACAACCTTAGAAGCACCTGCTATGTGCAAGCTGAGTCCAGACCCTGCCCCTGACCCCAGCCTCTGGGAGCTGAGCTGCGACGGGAAGGATCTGGGATAGACTGTCAGCGGTGAGCGGGGGCCATGCTGGGGAAGCCCTGACTGCCAGGTCCTCTCCTGCAGGGCCTGGCCCTGACCTGCAGCCTCCGGGACAGGGAGCGCGGTGGTCGCGCACAGATTGGCGTGGTGGATGATGAAGTTGAAGCCACTGACCTCATGCGGATCATGGAAGCCGTGCTGGGCTGCAGAGTGGGCAACGTGCCTGCCACCAGGCCCGACAAGAGTGTTAACCAGCTGCAGAAAGCCAGCGTCCGTCTCTACCAGTGAGCAGATCTTGGGAGTGGGCAGAGTCTGCATGCCTGGGTCTGCACGTCTGTCGTTCCAGCCGTAACACAGTGTCTCTAGAAAGGCCTCCAGAAAAGGCCCGTGGGTTTCTGGAGCAAGCCATGTGGGGCTCTGGGTCCAGCCTGTACTCTTGCATGACTGCTCTTCTGAGAAATCCATTGTACAGATAGGGCAACTGAGGCACTGGAGGGCCAGAGAGTAGCCTAAGGCTCCACGGCAAGGCTGTGGTGAAGTTAAGACTTCAACCTGGGGCCCCAGACCCCATGCCTTCTGCCTCTGCGAGGACTAAAGGGGGCTGGAGTGGAGCCCACGGAGGGGCTGAGCTGCCCACCTCTGGATGCCTGTCCCCCAGTGTCTGTGAAAAGGATGAGGACTTGGTGATCCAGGAGTTGGCGACCTGCCCACTAACCCAAGACCTACTGCGGGAAGAGGTGAGACAGGCCTGGTCCCCGGCTCGTCATGCATCCCCGCCCACCCATGACCCCAGCCCAGTCTGGGCCACCTACCAACCAGTCCCTGTCTTGCTCCCAGGACTACTATATCCTGGACCAGGGTGGTTTCAAGATCTACGTGTGGCAGGGACGCCTGTCCAGCCTCCAAGAGAAAAAGGCTGCCTTCAGCCGGGCTCTGGTAAAGCTGTTGGGCCCTGTCTCAAGGGGACATTGAGCTGCCCTGGGGTCTGCGGGAAGAAATGGCCGTACTCTGAAATCTAAGCTGGGACACATCCATTCCTGGGGGCCTTTAAGGGAAGGTAGTCCTATCCTTGGGCCAGGAGATGGATCCATCCTGCCCTAGGAGCCTGTCTGATAGAGGAGGACATGGCTTTGCCCTGGGGTCTAAGCCTGGAGACAAAGCACCCAATCTGATGACGGGGACACAGTTCTGCCCAGTGGTCCGAGGGTCCCTCTCTGGTACCAGGGGCATGCAGCCTGCCCTTGGAGCCCTGACAGGGGTTGGGGGAGCGAGCACCCAAGAAACCATGTGTAAAAGGGTGCTCGTGTAAAACGTGGACCTGCCTTGAGGTCTGAGAAGCAAGCCGCACTGGGCACCCCCTCCTTGTCGAGGAGGGGAGACAGGGCTCTGCCTGGCGCCTGGAGGGGGCGGCGGTTGTCATGGGCCGCCCTTCCCGAGGCGCAGACTAAAGGGACCTTGCTTGTCCTCAGGGACCTCAGAGAAGTCGGTAGTAAAGGAGCCAGCTTCTTAAGCGGGTCATGAGCGCGGTTAATTAATACTGCTCTGCGCTCAGTTGAGCGTCAGGTCCCCGAGGGTGGAGGGGAGAATTGGGCCCTCGGGCCGCACGCCTGACAGAGCCCCCGCTCCAGCGCTTCATCCAGGCCAAAGGCTACCCGACCTACACCAACGTGGAGGTGGTGAACGACGGCGCCGAGTCGGCCTCGTTTAAACAGCTCTTCCAGTCTTGGTCAACCAAGCAGCGCGGGAACAAGAACTTCGGCAGGCTAAGTGAGCGCGCGGGGCGGGGCCTGCGGGGCGGGGCCCGAGAGGTGGGGCGGGGACTTCGGCCGGAATGGAAGAGCGGGCGGGACAAGGTCGGGGGCGTGGCCTTGGGGGCGGGGCCGGCGTGGGGCCGCACCCAGAACCTGGGCGGGATGGGAGAGCGGGCGGGGCGGGGCCGGCGCGGGACGGCACCCTGGACCTCGTGTTGGACGGAAGACTAAGCGGGACCAGGCGCGGGAGATAGTTGGGGCGGGGCGCGGCCCACGCGGAGCGGGGTCTGCGGGGGACAGAGTGGGGCCGCCAGGGGGCAGCCCCCAGAAAGCGCCACCGGGTGGGGGAGCGTGGCCAGAGTGGGCTTTCTTTTGAGTGATGGGCGGACGCGGTTGGCGAAGGCGAGGACGCCCGTGACACCCCGTGTCCTCCCGTCAGGTAAATCGATTCAGGTAAGGCCGGATGTGGGCAAGCTGCAGAGTCAGCCTGAGCTAGCTGCCCAGCTCAGGATGGTGGACGACGCTTCCGGGAAGGTGGAGGTAAGGGGACATTAGCTCGGCTGGGAGAAGATAGGCACACAGGGGCAGGCTTTGTCTTCAGCTGAATGGTATGGCTGCTAAAGTGCCCCAAGTTGCGCATCTACGCAGGGACACCCAGGGGCGTGTGTACATATACACACGTCCTCCCTCCTGCTGGCTCGTACGCGTGACGCCTGATCAATCTGTGCAGCTGTGGCCACTTGCTCAGGTAACACTTGGCACACGGCACGGTAACGCTTCAAGATACTTGATTGTGCCCTTCGGTCGAATATATGACACAACCGTACATATGCCACAGACACAGACGCACACGCCTAATTGCACCCAATCAGCCAAGTTAACCAACTGCAAACATGTAATTGTACAAATTCTGCATCACACGTGATCATAGACACACAGAATGCTCAACCCACAGGAACACACCGACAGGGTACAGCGTCACATGTAATCTGTCGCCGCCCACACAGGCACATACTGTCAGCCGCCTGGGCTCAGATCAGTGTTCTGGGAGACGTAGGGATTGCATCTTGACATCTCATCTGATCCCTCGTAGAGCCCTTCATTCCTCTGGGCCTCAGTTTTTTTTACCTATAAAGTGGAGGCAAAAACTCTGGTTCCATCTGGCCCATGGCTGGTGTGGGGATGCTGTAAAATTCTGGGAACAGGACTTCTGGGCCCATGTGAAGGGCTCCTAGTTCTCAAGGTAGGTCGAGGTCAGAGAAAATGCCATTTCTCCAAGGTTCCCTCCTGTATTTGTCCTAATATGGATGGACAGAGGCTGTTAGAAGAGACCAAGACAGGAGGAGACGTGGCAAGGTGTGGGGGAGCAGGGAGAAGGGAAGAGAGGGAAGGAGGACAGGGAGAGACAGAAGAGACTGAGAAAGAGGAGGGAGGAGACAGAGTTGGGGGGATGGGATGAAGAGCAAGAGAGATGGGGTACACAGAGGGGGACAACACAGAGGGGAGGGCAAAGGTGGGAAGGAAGGAGGTCTTGCCACTCGGGCTCCAAGCACAGACGCCGGGAGGGGATCCCTTCCAACAGGCAGGCAGGCCAGCCAGGGGAGCCCCTGATCCAGGAGGCCTAGCTGCCAGGGAAGTGCTGCTCCTGGGTAGCGCATGTGGTCCCAATCAGTCTCTTCTGCAAGAGACTGGTTGCTCTGGTCTGGAGGACACCTTCCCCAGAGACAGCTACGAGGCCCTGTGTGGGCACATGATGTCCAGACTTTGTTTCCTGCCATTGTCAAGGTGGGCGTGGCTATGCCCACTTTCCAGGTGGGAAAGGCTGAAGCTCAGAAGGGTCTCACTGCCCCCACGGCCTGCCTGGGGTTTGAGGCTCCAGAACCCATGCTCGCTACCCATAGGAACAGGAAATCACGCTCTTCAGTATGAGGAAGTATTTTCCTTTCAGTCTCTGAATAGGCTTTGTCTTTTTAAGTGACACTTGAGAAAAGAATTTTTCCCAGAGCTCAAGGGCTCGCGTCTGCCCAGCTTCTGCAGCCTTGGCCTGAGCCGCGAGCGGCTGTGCCAGGAGCTGCCTGCCCCTAACCTGCCGTGGCTGGCGGGGGCAGGGTGAGGGCGGTGTGTGGCAGGGCTCCGGTCCGTCCCAGCAGCCTCTGGAGCCCTCACTGCTTGTCCGTCCCAGGCACCGCACGCCAACTGCGTCCCGGCCGACCGCGGGCCAGCGCAAGTGTGGCGGGTCCCAGGGGCCCATGGCGGAAAGGGTCACCTGCAGATCCTTGTGCGGGCCTGGCAGAGATGAGGCAGGCCCGGAGGCCACGGGGAGCTTTCTGGCTGGGCACAGACTGGCCGGGCTGGTTCGAGAGGAGGAGCCAGCTGCGCCCATTGGGCCTCTGTTCTCCAGGTGTGGTGCATCCAGGACTTAGGCAGACAGCCCGTGGACCCCGAGCGTCATGCACAGCTGTGTGCAGGCAACTGCTACCTCGTCCTCTACACCTACCAGAGGATGGGCCACGTCCAGTATATCCTGTACCTGTGGCGGGTACGCTGGCCCGAGAGGGGTGGTGGGCACCTTCAGGCCCCAGAGCTGAGGCTCTGAGAACAGGATCTAAGAGCCGCTCCCGGCCCCTGCCATCCCCACCTGCAGGGCCACCGCGCCACCACGCGTGATGTCAAGGCCCTGAACTGCAATGCCGAGGAGCTGGACCTCATGTACCGGGGAGCCCTGGTGCAGGAGCACGTGACCATGGGCAGCGAGCCCCCTCACTTCCTCGCCATCTTCCAGGGCCAGCTGGTGGTCTTCCAGGTAGGGCCCACCCTGCTGCTGTTCCCGCAGCCTTGCCGGCTCTTCCGTGTGCCCATAGCCCTTACATGCATGTACTAAGCTTCTCTTCAGCCCAGGGGCCCGTTTACCACCCCAGGTTTCCTGGTGCCGTTAGATACCCAGGAGCTCCAAGAGTGACCCCCGCTTCAGTTTCTTCCCCTGGTCCCCAGAGCCAGCCGCCAAGCAGAAGCACAGGAGAAGAAGTTGAATTGAAAGGGACCCAGGGCCTTGCCTGGGGTCCCCATTTTCTGTCTATAAGGCCTGGGGGAAACCGTGCCCTGACTCCTTGGAGATGGGGGAGAGATCCATTTAGAAAGGGCCTGGTTCCCTGTCATAGGCTGACGGGACCCTCACGCTCTACACTCAGAGGGTCTAGAAAATAGTGGTGGCTTCAGGCGAGGGTCTGGTGGGCCCCAGGGCAGTTTGTCCATCACCGGGACAGGGAGGCGGCTCCCAGGAGCCCTTGCCTCATCCTGAGGCCCAGCCCTCTTACAGGGGCACACGGGACGCGATGGGAAGGAGCAGCCAGCACCTGCTACAAGGCTCTTCCACGTGCAAGGCACCGACAGCTGCAACACCAGGACCGTGGAGGTACCGGCCCGCGCCTCAGCCCTCAACTCCCATGACATCTTCTTGCTGGTCACAGCTAGCGTCTGCTACCTCTGGTTTGGAAAGGTACTTATATCGTTGACCTCTCGACTTACCCTCGGGTGGTGTGCCAGGCAAGGGACGGGTCTCCTTCCCAGGAGATGCAGACTTCGTGTCCAGCCTCAGCTAGGCCAGGAGTGGGGTCCCTCTGGAACCTGGGGGGAGGTTGAAAGTGACTAGTAGATCTGGGAGTCTGCTGGTCAGAGGCAGGCCAGGCCCAGACTGCCTCCCCTCCTTCCTGCTTCAAGCGAGGAGCATGTCCCTCTTCCCAAGTCTCTCGGGGAGGAAAAGGAGGCCTAGTCCGGTTTGCCAGAGTTTCCTCCAATGCTCATAAACCACAAATGACCCCCGAGCCTGGGGTCCCCATCCCATTCTCTGGACCAGGAGAGGGTCCCAGTCCTGGGAGGGGGGAAGACTGGATCCCTTGCTCATGTGTGCCCTGACATCAGCCTTGGCCTCCTGTGACTCGGGCCCAGCTCCCCAGAGTCCCCTGTGAGTGGGGGAGGTGGGGCTGGAGGTGAAGACCCCTCCCCCTTCAGGGCCTGACCCAGCTCTCTGTGGGCCAGGGCTGCAGCGGTGACCAGCGAGAGATGGCGCGGACGGCGGTCACTGCCGTCTCTGGGGAGAACAAGGAAACGGTGCTGGAGGGTCAGGAGCCTCCCGGCTTCTGGGAGGCCCTGGGAGGCCCGGCTCCCTATCCCGGCAACAAGAGGTGACAGGGGCTGGGCGGAGGGTGTTCTTATACAGAGGAGGAAACTGAGACCCAGAGAGGGTGGGTGACCACTTAAGGGTCACACAGAGAGCTGGAGAGCCCCCCCCCCCCCAGCACGGAGGCCTCTTGGTCTCCCACTCCAGGAGTTCGCGGAAGCGCAGCCTACCCTTCACTCCCCGGGATCAGGAAGATGATGCCCGGGAGAGCTTGCTAGTGGCGCCCTCTGCTGGCCGAACAGGCTCCCTGCATTGTCCCAGTCCCGGACCTGACCAGTGACCGAGGACAAGGGAGCAAAGCCCCACTCCCAACCCGAAGTCCGCAGGGGTCATGGTACCAGGTGTGGGGGGGGGGG